AGGCTTCCAGAAGGTGGCGACTCTTGAGCTGGCTTTGGAAAGATAGGAAGACATGCTCACCAAAGAAAATTCTAGAAGAAATGCCCACAGTTGACAAATTCTATGTGTGGGCAACAGGGGGTTGCTATTTGGCTGGGCAGGGAGAAGAGGGGGCTGGTTCTTGAGTTGGCTGATGGCAGTGGGAAGAAGGAAACACAGAGGTGAATCTGACCGTCCCCTGGCCACCTCCAGGACCGGAGCTCCGAATTGTTCTCCCAGATGTGACAGGGACTGACAGAGAAGCAGAAGCCTCTACAAAATTCCGACCTGGAGTTTTGCTGGGAAGGGAAGAACAACAATGACCTCCGTCCAAATCCACCCGGTTTTAATGTATGATTCTAGAAATCAGTTGAATGGAAGAATTTATATCACAATGAGGTATCTAGTAAGAATCCACTGATTTCAAGGAATTTCCCCTAAGGAAATGTAGATATAGCTCCAAGACCTTAATTCGAAGGATGCACCAATGAATTAATTCTTGGGAAGGGCCCACATGTTCAAGCTCCCAAGAATCTGATTTTCTTGTCAGTATGAATGGGAGGGGGTGCAAGAGTGGACTAAGGGCATTTTCAGGCATCGTGCACATGTTTCTTGAATAAACAAAGGGAAAAAATCAGGTTCAGACCCAACTGGCGCCCTCACATCATAGATTATGAAACGTCTCTGTAGGAGCCATTCATGTCATGACATAGAATATGCCACTCGGTCCCTCATTAGCTACAAAAGGAAGACGCCTGTGAAATAAAACACATGTCCCTATTTGGGAGTTGGGGAAGTGGAGAAAATCTACCCTGACTACCCCAGCGGTCACTTAGTGAGCATCAGTTTTTAGTAATTTTGTGACAATTTACACTCTAATAATAAGCCCCCAATTTCCCACATAACTTGAGTGACACAATAACCCATGAAGTTCCGAAAAGAAGATGTTGTTTCTTTTTCCACCAAGGTGATCAATCAAGAGAATGAAATTCCCTCTCAGGTTAGAGGGGAGAAAGGAACTGCAGAGGTTTACCCAATCTGGGAAGGGTGGGGCATCCCCTTTGCATGGCAGCCAATGTCAAGGTCCCTGCCAGGGAGGGACTCATGAGGACAGGAACTGTGTCCTGCTCATGGTGGACGGACCACCCCCCCCCCGTGCCTCCTAGCCCATAAAAGGTGCTCAACAAATCATCATTGCATTCATGAATAAACAAAAGGTTGTGTGCTATATTATTTTCACATGCATATGCATGTCCATGTGAGATATGATCAGTATATTGGACCATATATAAATAAAATTTATTTGGTGCCTGGAATGTGTTGCGTATATAACGTACTCAGAGTATATAAGGAGTAAGCATGTGTCCCTCTGCCTGGGAAGATGCAAACCAATCTCCTTCATTTTCAAAACGTCAGCTTGATTGTTTGAACATGGAGCTAAAACATTTGGAGACATAGGAATTCAGAAGTGCAGGCGCCTGTCTGAGAAATTAACTAAGAACTAACAGGAATCTATAGCCTACCAAACATTGATTTGAGACGCTGGCCCTCTCAGACAGAGACAATCCAAGGACATGAAAACAGGATATTATTAGCATCCCCAAACCTTCCCCCTACAATGAGTTCAATCTGCACTATCTAATAGGGTAGCCAATGGCCACATGTGGCTATTGAGCACTTGAAGTGTGGCCCAAATGGACATGTGCTATAAATGCAAGATACACACTAGATAGCAAAGACTTAGCATGAAAAACAGAACTTAAAATAGCTTAATAAATGCTTCATGTTGATTACATGTAGAAATGATTAAGTTTTAGATATGTTAGATTAAATCACATACTTTTAAAAAGTTATGTCACCTGTTTCTTTTTTGTTAATAAGATACTAGCAAATTAAAAATAGGATTCACAACAGTGAAAAGGTAGAAGCAACCCAAACATCCACTGAGAGATGAATGGATAAACTGTGATATATATATATAATACAAACAAAGGAATATTACTCAACCTTAAAAAGGAAAGAAATTTTGACATGTGCTCCAACACGGATGGACCTTGAGGACATTATAAGTGAAATAAGCCAGTGACACAAGGACAAATACCATATTTATATGAGGTGCCTAAAGCAGTCAAATTCATAGACAGAAAATAGAATGGGTGGTTTCCAGGAACTAAAGGGAGTGGGGAGTTACCATTTAATGAGTACAATCTTTCAGTTTGGAAAGATTAAAAAAATCCCTGGACATGGATGGTGGTGATGGTTGTATAACAATGTAAATGTACTTAGTGCCACTGAACTGTGCACTTAAAATTGGTTAAAATGGTCAATTTTATGTGTATTTTAGCACAATAAAAAAAACTAAAATAACATAAAAAGAACACAATTAACTGCAAGGACTTTTAGTGAGTTCCAAAAATGAAGAAAACCTTCATTTTATTGGATTTTTGGTTTCCAAGTCAATAAAAACCCTCATTGCTTCTCTAACTTCAACTCAAAAATCTCTTGCATTTCAGGGAGTCTGAGCTACACAGTGCAGTTTTCTAGGTCAAACAGACAGGGATTCCACAGTTTGCTGCTTGCGGTGCTGGGAGCCGGGGACGCCTGGGAGGGACTGGATATGAATTGACATGAGTGGAGACCTCTGACTTGGGGCTGAGGAAGGAGAACTGTGTTGTCGTCTGCAGTTCTACACTGAGAGAAAAGAGAGATGAGAACAGGAAAGGTTGCCACGTGGGCCCATTCCCTACCAAGACTCTTGGGACCAACAAGGAGAAAGAAGTTAGGGCAGAAGAAAGCAGAGGGTGTTGTTCAGAGGAACTGGGTGGGACTTAGCAAAACAGGGCCACTTTGGGGTCCAGGTGACAGATGTAGCACAGAGCCAAGGGCAAGGGGGGGGGTCTCTTCTCCCTCCACTTAGGCACCCAAACCCCTGAGAGGGGCGCTGTGAGAATAGCCTCGACTCTGGGCACAGAGGCTGGTGCTGCCACCAGCAGAGCCTGAGTAGGGCACGGGGGTGGGGACCACAGATGGCAGGCTGGTTTGTGGCCACCTGGGAGGCTTGTCTTTGGAAAGTCACAGAAATATTTGGAGAGGCTCTGTAGGGGGCTGGACAACTGCTATGAGAGAGTGGGGGGACGAGAACAGGAACTCCATTCCTGACATTAATGTGACTTGCTCGGGCCTCTGACTGGTGGTGCCCAGGAGAGGGGTTGTATTACACCTGTGCTCTGAGGGTGCCCCCGTGTTGCTCTAGAGGGAAAAGTACCCCAGAAATGCCAGAGAAATGGTTTGGTAAAATACATTTAAATTCCTTGAACAAACAAAAATCCAGAGGCAAGATGATTTAATTCAGTTTGAAAGGACCATAATGAACAACGAGGAGGAAACCATGACTAAGACGGAATCCTCCTAAGAAATGGCTCCGAAGCAAAAAAGCCAGGAGCACTTTCCCTGGGAAGGGAACCGCTGGGAGACAAAGTGATGAACTCTGCATGTTCCAGTACTTGCATGTGACCCTGCACCCCTGACTGTAGCCAACGGGACCAAAGATGCTCATCCCATCCAGCCCTGGGGCAATGGATCCATGGGCCAAGCAAACTCATGAGCTGTGGCCCAACTTAAAAAATTGTCAGGGGCAACCATATCACAAAATAATGCAAATAAAAAATCAGCCATTCAGCAGGGAGTTGAAGCAAGGGTACATACTGTGAGTCTCGAGATTGTGAAAAAGAAGGAACTCTCCCTGTCGTTCTCCCCATATGCTCCTCACTCCTTCCCAAAAGGAGCAGATCTGCTGGAACTAGACTCCAGGGCACCTATTGGGTGTGTTTCCCAGGGGACCTCATCCGTGTGTGTCAAAGGGCTGGTACCTAACCCAGCCCATCTTCTCTTGCTCCCAGGCAAAGTTAGCCACGGTCTTTTCCCAAAATATGGAGAGGTCTGTTTAGTTGTTCTCTACTCTGCTTGGAGCAATACTCCCCCTTTCATCTCCTATCAACATTCCTAATAACTTATAAAAAAATATATATGCAAACTCTTCCAAATTATGAAAAGCAATAAATATAAGGTTTGATGGCTGCTACCGTTTTTTAGTCATTAGCATCCCTTTTATGGTCGTGATGGTCTTTAACAGAAGTATACCAAAAGTCCACAAGAGGAATCTTTGCTTCGTGAGTTAGTTCCACAGAAAGGAGAATACCAAGATCGTCAGAAGGAATGGAGACATTCTGTTCTTTCTAGAGAGGGATGAGAGCCAAGATTTCTGTGTACCTTCGAAACCCACTGATGCCTGTTATGTTGACCCAGCAAAATCTTGAAGGTCTTCTGAATCACCAAAGCAAGCTGAGATTGTGACTAGTTTCGGTTAGTGTTAAGTGTATTTCCTTGTATTTGAATTCTTTGTCAATTCGTGATTTGCCTGCGGTGACTCGGTTATTAGTGGAATGTTTTCTCCATTAGCCAACTGAGCCAGATACACTTTGATTTTGACCCAGACCACCTGAGCTTTCAAGTCGAGCTCCAAAGTCCTCCCTGTGCCTGTCCTCTCCCGCCCCTACCCCAAGATCCAAGGGTGGGTCCTCCTAACAGCCTTCATCAACATGTAAATTAAATCGGAACAAAACAAATTCCACGGATCATTTTGATGGAAGCCAAAGTCCTTTGGGAACATCAGGGCAACCGCACAGCACACGGGGTTCTCCAAGCGGGGTCCGTGGCCCAGCTGCCCCAGACCCTCCCAGGGGCCTCTCCCCGTGCTGGAAGGAGCACACAATCGCAATCGCCCTCGTAAGAATCTGCTATTTTAATTTTTTTATTTTAACTTTTCAATTTGAAATAATTTCGGGCTTCTAAAAAGTTTGCAGAAATAGAAGAATTCTCATATACCCTTTATCTAGATTTTCCAAATGTTCACATCTCACATGCCTACAGTCTAAAATCAGAAAATGATTATGGCTGTAATACTTATTATCTAAACTACAGACCTCATTCAAATTTCATCAATTGTCCTTCTAATTGTCTTTTTCCGGCCCAGGATCCAATGCCAGGCCAGATTTTGCATGTAGTTGTCACGTCTTCTTGAGTCAGTTGGAGCCCATGTTCACTACCTTGCTTACTTGCTCTGTGGCCCCAAGAAAAGGGAATGTTCCATGTTCCTCAGGGGCATCAGCAGCTGGAGGAAGTCTGTTCTCAGTGCTGGGCAGGAGAAGAGACCCGAGTAGCCAATGGAGAGTTAGGACACTCGTCGCTATAGCAACAAAAGAGAAGTTAGGTTCCCACCTCCTCCTCCCTACCACCCCACTACAGGGGCACTAAGACAGCCATCAGGGGCCCCCACAGAGTGTACCAGGTCTGATGAGAAACTTTAGGATACTCATTCTCCCTTCGTTCAGAGTTCTCACAGACTACACAGACTAAATTACTCATTTTTTTTTTTTTTGTCAAATAAATGGGATTTTCCACAGAGATGACTTGGGGGTTCTTCATCTAGGCATAGTTTCTCAACTTGATTTTAAAGTTGTAGGGTTTTTTTTTTGTCTAGAGACAGGGTCTCACTCTGTCACCCGGGCTGGGGCACAGTGGCACAATCATAGTTCACTACAGCCTGGAACTCCTCCTGAGCTCAGTGATCCTCCTGGTTCAGCCTCTGAGTTGCTGGGACTACAGGTATGTGTCACCATACCAGGCTGATATGGTTTTTTTTAATTATTGTTTTAGAGATGGGGTTCTCACTATGTTGCCCAGCCTGGTCTCAAGCTCCTGGCCTCAAGCAATCTTCCCACTTCAGCCTCCCAAAGTGCTGGGATTATAAGTGTGAGCCACCATGCCTGGCAGCTGCAGCACTTTTTGAGTATGATATTTGAAAGGATAACCCACCCTCCAGACTAAGAATTTGAAGCTCAAAAGACAGACAATAGACAAAGTAATGGCCCCTCAAAAATGTCTATGTCCTAATCCGCAGTCCCTGTGAATATGTTATCTTACATGGCAAAAGGAACTTTGCAGAAACGATTGAACTAAGGATCTTTAGATGGGAAGATGTTATGTCCCCCACAAAATGCATATGTTGAGCCCAAACTCCCAAGGTAACTGTGTTTGGAGATAGAATGATCTTTAAGGAGATAATTAAGAGTAAATGAGGTCATAAACGTGGGGCCCTAATCCGATGACTGGTGTCCTTACAAGAAGAGAGACTCCAAGGATATGCACACAGAGAAAAGGCCATGCAAGGACACGGCGAGAAGGCAGCCATCTGCAAGCCTAGGAGAGGGGCCTCCTCTCTACTACCAGTCCTGCCAGCACTTTGGTCTTCAACTTCCAGCCTTCCAGGAGTAGAAGCTTCTAGAAGTGGAGAAAACAAATGTGTTTTTCAAGCCACCTAGTCCGTGGTATTTTATTATGCAGCCCTAGCAGACTCGAAAGGGCGGTTACCTGTGGATTATTCTCACAGGCCCAGTGTAATCACAAGTGTCCTTACATGAGGGAGCCACGAGGGTCAGAGCAGCAGCGAGATTGATAAGTGCCATCCTGCTGGCTTTGAAACCGAAGAAAGGAGCCTCAAAATGAGGAATGCGGTGGACTCTAAACACTGAAAAAGGCAAGGAACAGATTCTCCCTGAGAGCCTCCAGAAGGAAGGTAGCCCTTGATTTTAGCCAACACTTCGATTTTAGCCTCATAAGACCCATTCTGGACTTCTCACCTTTAGAACCGAAAGATACTATATTTGAGTTGTTTCAAACCACCAAGATTATGGTAATTTGTTACAGCAACAAACAGGACACTAATACCCTGGTGATTAATGCTACAGCCAAGGTGAAAACTCAGGTTAGTAGGCATCTTTTAAAGAGAATAGAAGAGAGTGAGTTTTATATACAGCTATAGGTGAATAATAAAGGTTAATTTACTACTCAGATTTAGTTTTCTACTCTATGGACAGACACATTAATTCTTACTGTTTTAGATGAACCAATATTCTTATTCTTAAGCAATGTTGTTTAACCAATAAAGACTGCCATTTCTCCATGTTTTCCTCAACCACAACCAGAATATATCAATAGATCAATATGTCAAAGTGACACTTCCCCCCGACGCACATATACAATCTTCTGGACGCGTTATGAACAAGTTTTAGTTATCGTTATAGGCAACATGGCATAGTGCTTAAATGCCACATTCTGGAACCAGACTGCCTGACATCAAACCCCAGCTTTGTCCTTTACTAGCTGTGAGACATGAGGCCTGAGTTCTTATCTATAAAATGGCCATCATGGTGCCGATCATGTGTGTGTTAGGAGTAAACGTTGGCAAGGCATTTCAACAGTGCCTAGGACAGAGTTAACACCATATGAATATCCGTTAAGCACATCTTAAAAATAAAGGTGCCAATGGAACTACCGTGTTTCTCCGAAAATAAGACCTACCCAAAAAATAAGCCCTAGCAGGATGTCTAAGCATTTGTGCAATAGAAGCCCTACCCTGAAAATAAGCCCTAGTGATGGGCGTGGCTACGCAGCGCATCTGCACAGCCCATGCATTTCCTCGCAGAGCGGTCAAGAAGACGAGCAGCCCTTCTCATCTGCCCCATCATCGTGACAGCTACTATCCCAGAGGTAACCAGAAAGGTGCAGACAGCCCCACCGACAACGTCGGCTCCCCCTGTCAGGTCCCGGCCATCCTGTGCGTGCTGCAAGCTGAGGCTTTGAGGGGAAAATAACACATCCCCTGAAAATAAGCCCTCGAGTGTCTTCCAGAGGAAAAACAGATATAAGACTCTGTCTTATTTTTGGGAAAACATGGTACTTTGACCAATTAGCACCCTTTGTATTAATAGGCTATTAGATATAAATCTTCCTATAATGTAAGTTGATCACATCGCTTATACCCTTAAAGCTCGCTGGTTGTTGGCAGTGGTCTAAACCTGGCAATCCCCAGATAAAATCCAGTTTACAGATGTGGCTTGTGCACATATATTTTGTGTGCACTTTTTGTCATCTGTTGTTGAGCCAACACGTAAAATGAAAGATTTCACAGAAGGTAAATGTCTAACGTCTCCAAAATTCAGATCTATCCACATGGGGCTTATGTTCCCACAGAACCACCACCTCCGCTGGGGCTGGGGGCAGAGCCTGCAGGGTGCTGCCAGCCACCCCTCCACGCTGTCTCCCTGACACCGCAGTGAGAGGGGAACTGTCATATATGAGCCCGGGCACACTGTTACTGTTCTTACAGTAGAGAAATTTCTCCTCGCCTCTACCAAGAGTGGAACAAATTAATGTTCAAAGGCCACGTTTATGGAAACACGAGAGTGCATTTCTTTGTAGGCATGAGATTTTTTTTTCCCCTACATTTTATAAGCAAATTGTGTCAAATTAGAAAAAGTACAAAGACGTCATTTGTTATTCTTGAACTCTCCTTCCATTCACTGCTGCGTCATTCATTGCTGCCTGGTCACAGTGGGCATCTGAGTTTGTGACCCCTTAATCCACAGAATGAAGCACCAATGTCTGGCCTAGGATTTCAGGCCCTTCCTGACCTCCTCCCTGTGGACCCCTCAAAGTTATTTCCCACTGCCCTCCCCCCACCACACACACACACACACACACACACACACACACGCACGCACACACACACGCACGCACACACACACACACACTATATTCAGCAATTCTGACCTATTTTTGGTAATGTGACTCCATCTCTTACCTTTCACAGATGTCTTATAAATAGAACGTCTAGCTACAAAATAGAGATTTTAGCCTGGCAGTCCAACCCTAAAATCATTAGTATTCATCAGCATTATACATTCCAAAATATCCATGAAAAAAAAAGAAGATAGCATTTGGTTTAATCACGTAACCAAAGTCATTTTGATGAGAAATCAAAGCTGGGCCATCAAGAACAGAAAACGTCTACAAGCCCTCAAGCATAATTCATGCTGACTACAGTACTGTAAAAACACGCACGAGGAGTACAAACACAATCCCATGTGCCACCCGGCGACTTAATAAACTGACACATGCTATTACGAATTGGAAAATGCACGTGACAGTATATATTCTGAGCAGTATTAGTAACACGCTGACATTTCCTCCTGGAGGTTCAGACTATGTATACATTCCCAGAATCCTCTGAGCCCAGACAAAATTGATCCTGGTTTAGGAAAGATCTTTCCTTGGTTGAGAATTCAGAGTAAATGGAGAGGGTGCTGGAAAGAATTTCTTATTTCACGGATATCTGTGGGAACAGGAAGACGATTACTACCAGTGTTGTGCACGTGTTGGGTTCTTCGGGCAACGGAAGAGGCCCCGAATTGGGGAGAGGAGGAAGAGACGAGAAGGTGGCCTGCCCCACCCCCTGGCAGCTTGGCAAAATGAGAGTGGAAGAAACAAAGCTTTGATAGGTCCCTGAAAGGCGTGAGGTGTGAAAAAACTTCCTCTATTCAAACCCACATACGTGCGAATGCACATATGTCATTTTTCAGGTGAAGAAACTGAGTCCCCGAGAGTTTAACTTTCCTAGGAACACATAGCTAATAAGAGCCTTGATATTTTGAATTCTGGTAACTATACCAATTGTTATCCTTATTGTACTGCAATAAAAGAGGACATTTCAATATTTTACCAATTTTTTCTCTTATTTTAAAAACTATATCAGTATTAAAAGCCTATGATTCCTTCATACTTGGATGACAAATGATCCAGAGAAGCTTAAAGTGGCCCTTTTATAATAAAGGCACATCTCACCTATGTATATAATTTACCATTTATTGAGTGCCTACTATGTGCCAGGCACTGTACACGTTGTCCCATTTAATTCTCAAAATAATCCTACGAGGTTAAGTAGGTAGTATTATCCCCATTTTACAGTTAAGAAAACAGGGGTTCAGAGTGATAAAATAGCCTACTCATGAGACGTAATTCATAAATGGCATAAAGCTGGGGTTTGGGTTTTTTTTTTTTCTGACTCCAAAATCTGTGTTCTTTTCACAAAACTAAACTGCCTCTCCAAATATCGTAGCATAATAATTGGGATCCTTCACTGACCTTTCCAGCCCAGGCCGTGGCCCAGATGCTGTGCTCAGGCTCTCAGATAATTGTCACCACCACACTACGAGGTACATGTTATTGTGCGTTCATGTATACAGAACAGACCTTCTGAGGGGGGCTGACTCGCCAAGGTCACAGAGTCCAGATTCGAATGAAGGTCATTTAGGGTACAAAGTCCAGGCTTCACTCTAGAAGGGCTCACAAGCTTCATCTGAACATTCTAGATGGAGTGAGCAAGTAGTCTGGATGAGTGGTTCTCAAACTCCCTTGCATTGAGAATCAGCTGCACAGCTTTTTAAAATTCCATTGCCCATGTTGTTTAATGAGCACAGAGTTTTGTATGGGATTATGGAAAAGACCCTGAAGTGGATAGTGGTAATTGTTGCAATTGTCGTCTTGATGTTGATTTTTTTAAATCTTGTATTGGAACATCTGTTTTGATTACTGAGGTTTTCTGCAGCCTCTTAAGTTTCATATATAAGACGAGTACCCCCGGCCCTTGAGTGTTAGAGGGGGCAAGTAACCCCCTTAGTGTGTTAGAAACCATGCCACACCCCCAGGTCTGACAGTTACAGAAAACCTACAACGCCAATTCCCCAGTGCAGGGCTCCTTCTATAGATCACATTTCTGACCTTGGTCATTTGGCCTCAAGGTCAGTGGATCTAAACTTTGGCTTCATATTAGAATCACCCTGGAAGTTTTTTAAAGTCTCAACTCTCCTTTAAACTAGAATCTCTGGGGAATGGAACCTAGGATCGGTGAAGTGACAATGCATCTTGGTTCACCCAGAACAAAAGGGTTCCCTGGGACGTGGACTTTCAGTACGAAAACCAAGACAGTCCTGGGCAACCTGGGATAGTTGGTCACCCTGGCTGTTTGCTTCCCAGATGGCCCAGATGGGAAGCCATAGGAACTCAGTACTTAAAAGAGTCAGTTGTACAGTCTCAAACCTTGGCCACCTCAATTTCCCTCCAGCCAAAACGTAGGCTGTGATAGGAGTAGCGGGAAACCACTGAAGAGTGAAACTTCAGGAGAAAGTCATGAGGAACAGAAGCAAAGTAAATATAAAATCCAAGAACCAACCTAGCCTACTCAAGTTTTGCAGCAAAATTATATATTGCTGGGGACAAAAGTGTATGTAAGTCAATAGAGAGATTCCCACATCTTAGCAGTGCTAACTTGGCTCATGTTATACCTCGGGGTGGGCAGGGAAGGATGCAGAAGAGAGCAGGAAGGAGAGTGGGCTTTGATATCGAACATCATAAACAAAGTCTGCGTCCACATCCACATTAAAATAGCGCTAGGCCACGAATTCAAATCACCCCTTTTATTGTGACAAGAAAACTCTGCCTTATTCTTTGATCTCGTTGCAGTTGTCTGTGGTAGTAATCAGAGGGTTAATTGAATATAATAATAATATATATGAGAAGATATCAGTACATTAGAGGGAAACATTCCCACAGTTTCGATTTACTTCACAGGAAGAAGCACAATATTGGACATCTTCTATTATTTCACTCTTTCCTAGAGTGTAAATGCAGGATATATTTGCAGAAAATTCTTAAAAGGTTGCTTATAATCTTGAACCTTCTCAGGGATGACATTTTCATTACAGAGAATAAAAAGTTGTCTTTAAAATGCAAACATGCCCTTGGTAACCATTTCAAGAGTCTACTTTGAGGCTAGTAGATCTCACCATTTCGGTTCTGGGGCTTCTGAATAGAATTGCAAAAGGAAGAATTTATATATATATACACATATATATATACACACACACATATATATATATATATTTTTTTTTTTTTTAATTGGAAAAGTTGTTTTCAAACCAGCCTGCTTCCACAATGGCACAGAGATGTTTGCTGTGCTGCTGACATCTACTGAGAGACCGTGAAATAGCACCTCTCAAAGCGAAGGAAATTAAAGCCGTCTTGAGAAAGCTGTGTCTCTAGCAGGTAATGCCATCTGCAGCACATCACGGACCTTTGAGCAAGCACTCATCAATTTCCACGGAAGGTCAGGACCCCAGAATGCTCACCCAGGCAGCTTGGAAAAAGGAATGTGGCTGCGGCCATTGTGGGGACCCTGGTCCCCGTCACAGAGCTCTCTGCAGTGGGAGAGGAAATATCGTTTCTCTGAGCCGACCGCGTGCAGGTGTTGGACACCAATGTTAGGTTTAATCCTCATAGCAGCCCTTCCAGGTTAGCATTAGTGAC